ACTAGGGGCTGTTCCTGTTGATTCTAAAGCGTCTGAACTCAAGTTCTGGACCAAGAATGACGGCCAGGTCAGTTACCAAGAATCTTGTACGACGTGATAGCTCGTGCGCTGTGTGTCATCGTCGAATTGAGAGGCCTTTGATATCCGATTGGAACAGCTTTTTTTGTGTTTGTTTGTTTGTTTGTTTGTTTTTTAGTAATTTATTTAGTTATTTATTTATCTTTTTGTTTGTTTCTTTTCGTTTTCGTTTACTAAAGGGATTATTTGTTTATTTCAGGTGTTTATCCATCCAAAGTCGGTGAACTTTCAAGTAAACTCTTTCGACAGTCCATTCCTTGTTTATCACGAGAAAGTCAAGACTTCCAAGGTATGATATCTCACGAACACTCGTGTATTTGTAACAAATGAGCAGTAACGATTCGGCGCGCAACGCCATTACAAATTTGGAAAGAACGTTTTTCATGGGACCTTTAAATCATTACGCGCAAAAAAAAAAGGATGCGCGCAGCTTTTAGTTAGTCTAGCGAACGGATACGCGCAAGACACACAGGTTTTCTGATTATGTCGCGGAGTTTTCACCGCTTTTGATTGGTCCTTCGAAGACGCCGTCCTCTGCTCCTGTCATCATATCTAGGACGAGGGAGGGAGGAGGGGGTGGGGGAGCTAAAACAGGGAAACGAACTCTAGCGAAACCACTAAACCAACTCTAGCGAAAATCGCGATATCTTCCAAGCCTTCTCATACCCTTTCGTGCTCTTCTAACATTCTTCTAAGTGTTTATCGCCAGGTTTACATCCGGGACTGCAGTATGGTGTCGATGTACTCTTTACTTCTGTTCTGTGGCGACTGTTTGTCTGTGAACTTGGAAAAAGGTGTTTTTGTCGTTTCCATTGACGATGGATGGATTCGCTTTTCAGCGTCTTCGCACGAGGTAGGTAACTTAGTGGACCTGTCAGGGAATCACAGGTGACCCAAGCGTTCTAAACGTGTCGTAAAACTGGCTTGCCTGTGGGGAAACAAGCAGTCAGTATCCGGTCTCCAAAATTTGAACAGGGCTCTGTAGACTGGTTAACTGACCCTCAATCGCCCTCAATAGCGATTTTTGTTTCTGCTTTAAGTTTTCGCAATGCAGTAGTAGACCATGTTCGTATTCTCGGCATTGGACTGGAACTAGCATGCAATGGAGGCTCATGTGGGTAATATCATCAAAAACAGATTATTATCATTTGTCTTTGAAGACTCCCCACATTAGCCTCAATTGCAAGCTAGTTCCAGTCTTATACCAAGAATGCGAACATGGCCTATTGACAGAATAGGTCATTCCCGAGTTGCTCTAGCGAGTCTTAGAGCGCAACCTTTCATATCGAAATGGGATTTTCTTGCACGTTCATTGTCAAATCAAACTTAAACTTGGGATTTTTAACTATGTTACTTTTGTTTGAAATATTTGTTTCCTTTGTTTCAGTGGCATGCCTAACTAAGCTTAGTGCTTGTATAGCTAAGTGCATGACCACCATAAATAAGATTTACATTTTTTTATTTCCATTTTAAACTCATTTCCATATGAAAGGTTGTGCCAGACCAGGACTCGTTAGGAAACAGAGGTAAAAAGTAACTCGGAGATGGCTTAGTTTCGCGCGCTTTTTGATCGAGGGCTGCGCAGAGTGTAGAAAGCGGAGGAATGGATCCGATTTATTGAATGCCTTTCATCCTTCTTTGCAGATTGCCACACTTGTTCAAGACTTGAGGAAGGAACTTGACCGTCTACTAGAAAACAAAATAGAAAATCCTTCTCTTGATTTAATGAGTTGTGCGAGAGGAAGCAGAATCATTGACGCTATTGTTCGTTTGATTTCAACTCAATAACAGCAAAGGATGCAATGTGATTCCGCAGTATAATTTTCCTTTCCTTTCCTTTCCTTTCCAACACATGGTTATAATTTCCGTATTTTTTAAGCGCAGGAAGAAACCAGTGAGTTGAGATTTCGAAACTTTCTTGCGATCCCGAGAACGAGATTTTTCTTGAAATCAATCCTTTTATAATTATCAGCTAAATTTCGAATTTAAGCCCTCTTTTCAAAAATCCTGTTAACGGCTGAGATAGGTTTTTTGAAAACTCATTTTACCCACACATGCTTGATAATGCAAATAATTTCATTTATTATGGTAGATGTGTAGATAAAGAAATAAATTTATTTGAGTGCTGCTTGACATTTCAATGAGCAGGCAGCACGCCATATTTTCCCAGTGCAATACATCAACGGTCGATGCCCCAATATTAAATTATTGTTGACAATTCTTCGCATCCCTTTGTCTCTGTGATGGTTTTGTATTTGTACGCTTTAGCCTTGTTCACGCTAGCGACATAACGACACCATGAGGTAACGGAATAATCGATTATGTCGGTAATGTGAACATCAACATAAAGACATAAGGAAAAGATCTGGGTTTTTTGCGTTAGGTCGTTATGTTCATGCCGCTATTTTGCTACTATATCATGATGCCGGGATGTTCACACTATAACATCCTTCTGATGTCGTTATGTTTATGTTGTTAGGTCGCTAGTGTTAACTTAGACTTCTTATTGCTTGAGAAGCTGGCGTGAGTATTTTTGAACTACACACCAAGACCTTAGATTGACTTTAAAAACTCGCGCCGTTTTGTCATCCAATCAGAAGTAAACCGAAGACCAAAGGTGACTTGCACGCACACGTTTTCCCGCGCTTGGCATCAGCTTCACGTATTTGAATTGAATTTTGATTGGTTCAATTGATTTTGTGAGTGCTTTATGATTGGCTAAAGTAATTGCTTTGGTTTTGGAAACCTTACATGAGAACATCAAGGAGTGGTTTACCATTTTAGAACGGAAGGCCTTCTCTACTCGAACAGGAATTACAACCTTAGGTCTTTCTCGAAAGTCCGTGAGGAAGAAAGCAAAATTGATGAGGTGTTGAGTAGTTGTTGGATCAAAAAGCAATGACAAGGAAATACCGCTAACAGAACAAGATGGCGCCTTCATTTACAATTCGGTTTTCCGCATTCTCGTCCCCATAGCCCTTTTCGCTTCTCTTAGTCGGCGCAGCCATGGCACGAGAAACGAAAGATTCTGGGACTTCCGGTCTTCATGTATGCAGTCGTAATGTTTCCATATACTGTATGGGATTGCCAATGGCCGCCGTCGAGGCAGGATTCGAGAAATCTTTGTCTCGGACCTTTTAAGTAGCATGGTATCAATTTGGAAAATGTTTCCGTCAGTGTAGAACAGAAAGAGGCGATATGGAACATTGTGATTTTGTTTTTGACTCCTAGCAAGGAGCAACTGAATCGTTTATTTTGGTTGTTTCGCTTTTAACTGCCTTGATGCGGGATCAGAACGTGAAGCTAAACGATTTGCAGGTCAGCTGTCTAATGGTCGTCCATTTTTGAACATTGCTGACAACAGCTGTTTCATATTTTCGCGACAGCAATCCGCGCGAACGTTTTAACTTTCGTCCAAGATTTTTTTGTTTCCAAACAGCCGATCAAAAAAATTCGATTTAATTCGAAAATTCTATGTCCCTAGAGCCCTTCGTTTCTCGTGCCAAGGTCGCACCGGCTGAGAGAAGCGAAAAGGGCAATGGGGACGAGAATGGGTTTTGATGGGAGACTGGGAAGTAGAGAATTCTGCAAATAGTAAGGATTTGGAAATTTCCAGCTTGTACGTTCTAAACGAAAAGAGAGAAATATACTGCTCTGAACTTACACACTACGATTCCGAATGGATTTTCCTGAAATCCACTGTTCAATTTGACTTTGAACTGAAATCTCTGGATTTCATTTTTTGATCATTTTTAAGTATTATTCTCTATTCAAATCGAGGGAATCGCAATTTTAGAAAAGACCCTTGGGAGATGGAGTGATTGTCAATCGAAGCTGAGAGAAAGGAAAAACTCGACACATGTTGAGCATCTCAGGGACAAGACAATTTTCTTTTCGTGCATGGAGCAGCTTACAGCAAGTGTCGAGTAAATAAACAGACCTAAGCAAATAATCAGACCTAATGAGAAATAAGGTCTTGGTCTGAGCTTTTGGAGCAAAAACCTGGCTGTATCTAATAAAACGATTAAATTTCATGTGGGAGTCCCTCTGGGTTAATAACAAGAAACGAAAGATACACCTGACTAACGACGAGGAAATATAGGTATTCCTTTACCCGTGCTCAAACTAACCGAAAGGTTCTGTAAGACCAGATATTCTCCTAAATAGTCTCGTAACTGCCTTTCATATCGTCTGAAAACTATTTCGTGCGAGTGGTTTAGTTTCAATCACCACGTTCTTTTCTAATAATTAGTCTGCGTGAAAATCCCATTGAAAGGACTTTAAAAAGCAGTAAAAACACTTGGAAGATATTTCTCTCCTCTGGTCATAGCTCTCGTTGTTCTTATGGTTAAAGACTCCACTGTTACTAGCTACATTTGAAACCAAAAACCTAAGCCATACACGGCGTCTTTGCTGATTAATTAAGTGCCATAAAAAGATTTTAAGAGGACTAGTTCCCCCTTTTTAGAGGGTATTTCACTTGTGCAGTTCATTTTATGTCAGTTTATAGTGAGTTTAGCTGTTTCTGCTCCGAACTTGTGGCCTTCGATGATTACGCGGTCACTGAACCTTTATTTTGCAGCTCAAAAGTTGTTAGGTTTTGACGGCGTCGGCGAAACACGATGAGCAGGACGGCGCTCACGATAGCGACGGCCAAGAGAGCGCAGACAGCCACAACGGCGATCATATAGGAAGGCAAAGGTGCCCTTTCATCCTTGCCAGCAGCAGCTTCTGATTCTATAAAATAAGGAAATGTCATGTCAGAAATTAGTTAACATCTCACTTTGATTGCAAAAGCCACATTTTAGATATCAATATATTCAGCTTGGTGTAGCTATAGCGCAGCTTGGGCTGGAGGACACAAAGAAAAAAATAGAACAGTCGTAGCGGAGCCCCATACTCATATAGGAGAGAAAAGGAAACCTATGAATTGATTTTCACGTGGTTATCATGGCTAGCGGTATTGCTCGTGGGCGCGTACACACGACAGAGTCGTGCAAGATTGTGGCTAATCTCCAACTAATAGGTTGACAGAGACATATTGGACATCCATGTTATGATCAATTGACACCTATCAAAACAAGGTATTCACTGACCAGTATCACGTGAGCATATCGCGGGCCCAAGTTTAGGGTCTGCTGTAATCAGGCCCGGTTTGTTCGGAAGCCGGTTTAAGCTAACCCCGGATTAAAAGTTCACCGAAGTATAAAATTTTTCCTGTATACAAATGTTTTTCACTGCTTTTGTTTTGTATAGTTTGAGGTTATTCAAACCGGCTCAAATTAGAAGGCCAAACAATATAAACAGAAAACCTCACCGCCTCAGATCAAAATTCTCGCCATGATCCTGGATTAGCTTAATCGGGCTTTGAACAACCCGGCCCACGAGCTCTGCTTTTAGGCTTGGCTAAATCTATATGTTATTCGTATACCGTGATATTCGTCCAAGGGAAACGAAAATTGTTTCTAGTTACCAAGAGTTCGAGAAATAGGAGGTAAGTTACCGAGTGTTCCAGTGAGGAAATGGGTTTAGGGAAATACCGTTTGACTTATCAGATGGTCGAGAATGTGGACAAAATCGGCCGTTTTCAACCAATGTTTTATTTATGTTTTGATTGATTGATTGACTGACTGACTGACTGACTTACTGATTGATTGATTGATTGATTGATTGATTGATTGATTATTCTATCGACCTGATAAAGCTTGCCAAGTTGAGCACAGGAGTTCTTTAAGCACAAACCTTGATCGGGATCTCGGACCTAGAAT